TCCCTTCTGGCAAGGGAGTTAGGTAGAATCCAAAAGTCCCTCAGGCCTCCAAGATCTCTAACCAACCGTGTCTGAGTGTCCCAGCCTCGTATTCGGAAGAGAATGGAACTTTTTAGATATCAGCACTTTGTTGCTATAGAGGTAATAATAGATGATAAGAGAATGAGTCCTGTTAAAAAGGATTAAAACATTCAACCGATACTTATTTTTTAATCCTTTGTGTCCATCACAATGTCTGTACTCAATACCTAAGACAGGGCTCCTAACCTCCAGGAGCTCCCCATCTAACCAGACCCACACCTAAATGCTAGGTCTGTGGTGTGTATCTGCTGGGACAGAGATACTTAGCAAGTGTTACTGGAACCCAATGAGGGTAATTCTGGGCCTCAAGGAGAAAGCAGGATACTGAGGGGAAGTGGGAAGAAATTAGCATATTTTAAAGGTGTGTATGGGGTGAGGGGGGAAGGGAGGAAAAGCGGAGCGCATAAACCTGGAAAAGACTGAGAGTATTATGGGTTGTTATTAAGGAATCCCATGCAGCACCAGTGACAACTTGCACGTACACGTTGCTTAGTAATTAGAGTAAGGCCATATACTTCATCAGTATACTTCATATTCATCATATGGCTGATATATGAAGTATATCAGCCATATACTTCAGCTGATATCCTAGAGCAGATATTGGTTCTAGGTGCACACAGTTGGACCAAAGTGCACAAAATCATGTAGTTACTGAGTGGTAGAATAAGAATCAAATCCAGGCCTCTGAACCCAGTGCCCTTTCTAGAGCACAAGGCAGCCTGTGTGTGGTCAGGTACATGCACACATGCAGGAGACACTTAAGGGAAGTTAAGGTCATTGGCGACCTGCTAGCTCAGATGCTCTGGGGGCAGGACAGGGCTTTAGAGAAGTGGTTCTTGGCTCCGGTTCCACAATAGAAATACTGGAGGAGATTTTCTTTTTGTCTCACAAGCCCACCCCGATGCCTAACTCCAGAGAATTTGATTTCATTGGTCTGGGAGGCTGGCAGTACAAGTTTTTAAAAGCATCCTGGCAACTCCAGTGTGCAGCCCGGGTCAGCATCGTGGTGCGAGGGGTCCCTTACAGGCACATACTTGCTTCCATGTCCTTTTATGTCTTCCTCTCCCCAGACCAAGAGTGAAGACTCTGCCCTTCCCCATGACCTTATTCAGCATAGGCAGCTTAAATACTGCAATGGGCAAAAGTGTTTCTAATAACCTAGTGCCTGTTCTGAAATTTCAAATTTTCACAAACAGAGAAGCTTCTGAGGGTGAATGCAAAATAGTGAAAAACGTTGTCCTTGGGAGCTTGACTGACCCAGTTGCTGGGGAAAATCCCGCAACTCAGATTATTCCTTGGCAGTAGTTAACCCTCAAATACTTGGTTCCAACTGGATTAGCACAGAACTCCAAATGAAAATGCAGGGACATTTCAGAAAAAGAGTTATTAAGCATAATCCCAGGTCAGCAAGCCTGGATGAGCAAAACTGATTATCCTGCCATATATTATATATAAATAAATACATAAAAACAGCATGTCAGTGGGAACTTATCCCGTTTAGTGGACCATTCCCTTACAGCAACAACCCCTACCTCTATCCTATAGCAGCTCTTCACAACATTCATGTATACAGAAGACGTGGTTCCACTAAGTACCTAAAGCAAATTTAGAGGAGATTGAGGCCCAGGAAGAAAGCACACCTGGCTATCATTCATGCAACAGAAATGGCTTAATAGGACCCAACTGACTACAGTGAGCATCCTGGGCTCCTTTCCTGATTCAGACATAGAACTTCTAGATACTTGTCATGTCTAATCTAATGGAAAGGCACAGAACATTTTTAACCCAACAGCAGATAATTGTAATGAAATGATTCTGGCCAAGAGGGCCCATTTGTAATAATGAATTCAAATCAGATTCATAGAAGCTATAATTCAGCCATAGTGAATACCACCTTCATTTCCCATATCATCTCTCTTCCAAGAAGACAAAATTACTCAATATTCAAATAATTATTTTTACTTTTCAAGTAGCCCTGTGAAGTAGTTATGAGGAAGATAATATTGCCTCACTTATATAAAATGAGTTTTATCTACGTTTGAAACTTCAGTGTCATCTTTGGCACATCACTTCCTAACGTCCCTCAATGCAATCAAAGACCTATCAAAACAAAACTGATATCTCCAAGGAAAGACATCATCCTTCTCTAAGCCGTGCAATTTCTCCTTGGAAAATTCAAATGAGGGACCCACTTCCTGTGCTCCTCTGCTTTACTACTAGGTCTCTGGCCTCCTTTGTGACTTCAGTCAAGATTTAGAAACGGATGTGAGAGATTTTGATCCAAGGTAACCACATTTGGAAAGACTTTCTGTGGCTCATGGGCCTGGGAAGCATTCATTGTTTTCAAGACATCCTGCACATTTGTTGCATTCAGAACACTAAATTTCCAAACACTGGATTCCCAGGGGAACATCTTTAAGGAGACAGAAGTGTGACCATACTTAGAATCACAGTCTTTCAAAAGCAAAATACAACACAGCATAAAACGTGATACATTTATCTGGGGTTGAGGCTAAGGATTTCCGAGACTGGAAGACAGGACTCTCCCTCAGAGCAATGACAAATAAGTTTTTCATTGACATGGGCACACAGCTGTTAGCCAATAAAACAAAGGTACATGCAAAACTAGAGAGAGATTGGGACCCTCAGAAAGCTGCAGGAGATTATGATGTTGTTTTAAGAAACATTGTGAGAGGAGTGAAATCAAAACCTTAAAAAAATCAGAAATTAATAAGAATTAAATGACAAAGGCCAAAAAAAGGGGGGGGGAAGAGAATGAATTATAGGCAAAAGCATGTAAAATGGAATCACCTGATAAGAACGAAGACTAAATTAATGAGAGAAGAACACAAGAGGTAAAAAGGAAGAGAATATAAAGAGATTAAAATGTGGACAATGTGCTGAATCTCTCTATTTCAGAGTAAATTATATGGAGGAGGAGAGACAAAATCAACACAAGCCATGTTTACTTTTTTAAAAAATAAAAGTATGCAATCAGGTAAAAGATAACAGTTATACTCGCATGTGTAAGGTTTTTTTTTTATTTCCCTCCACAAAGCACAAAAAGCAACTATTCAGCTTTTCCCATTTTTATTCCCATTCCCATTACCAAGCCCAGCTGCTGAACATTTGAATTGAGGATCATGAAACCAGGCCAGCAGCTAATAAAAAAAAGGCAGAGCCAAGTTGGCCCTCTGCTGGTGGAATCATCTTACGGCATCCCGGAAAGCAGAAAGCTGGAGTTTCTAAGTTTCTGCTTTAACTTTCAGGGTCAGGAATGGGACAAAAGATTTGGAAGGTTTAGCAAGGAGGCCTTATTCGGCACTGCGCCTCTTTGCCCCCAGTAATAGATTAGAAGATAAAGACAGCTGCGTGGCAGCATCAACAGCCCCTCACACCTGCTAACATTTACCAACATTTCTTCGGTGAACCTGTGTCACAGCCTGGGTATCACTCCTATCTTTGAGCTCACAGCTCTGCTGCCAGTGAGCATTCCACAAGTCAGTTCTCAGGGAGTAGGCTCCAAAAACTTCTTGAGGCAAGGAAATAGCCATAATGCACTCTAGTCTGGGACAGGCTGAGGAGGGCCCACAGGGCTAGAAGGGTTTTCCCTCCTGCAGTCAGGGAGGGGAGTCTGTCCCTAGCACCCCTTTATCTCTCTTCATCTGGGGCCCCCGAGCACCAGCAGACAGATCTGTGAAACCTGTTCTCTTCCTCAAAAGGAGATGCAGCTAAGAATCTCCCAAAGTGGCAAGAATCCAGCCTTAGCCTGGAGCTTAGGAAAGAATAACCAGTGTCCCAAGAGGTCTTTCTTTCTTTCCTGGGGGCGCAGCTTGTCCAGATACAGAGAGAGCTCTACCAGGGCAGCCAAAGGAACAGGAAGGAAGCCCCATTCTCAACTGTTCCTTGGAGAAGTCAGGCCTTTTGGCTGCAGAATCTGGGACAGCATGTTTTATTTTCAACATAACCATCAAAGTCATAGACAGGGCAAACGCATTCAGCCTGTGTACACTGTGAGCCAGAGTTAAGCTGGGACGTCCCTGAATCTGTCTCCTAGGACCAGAACTGCCTCATTAAAGGGATAAAAGATGATATCTGCTGAGCTGGTGGAAAGTGGTGGCTGCATTTTTATTAAAGTCTCTGCTGCAGCGGGCCCAGTCCCCAAAGGTTCATATTCCAACAATCTCCACCCCTCTGCCTGGAGCATGTAAGTGATTCTCTGTAACTCATTAAGGTAAAACAAAAAGCTTTCTATTGTGCTTTTCGCACAGGAGTGATGTCGTTGCATAAAAGCTACATGTTTCCTCTCTTTAGCCTGAGGCTGCAAAGATAAAACTGCCCTCATAATTTATAATAGGGGTCCCAGGAGCACCACACACGGTTGACATGGATGGCCAAGTCTTGAGCAGACTCATAAACGGCCATGGCGCAGCACTGGCAATTCCAGAGCCTGACATTTTAGGTATGTTTCTGGTAGGAGCAAGCCACCCCATCCGGAAGACCATCTTGCCTAATCACATACCTTCTGGCCTGTGAGAGAACCACCAAAGCACTCAGCGATCTTAGGCTAACCCCCAGTACTGCAATTACAGGGCGCTCTGTTCTCATCTTGATGCCAGGGCAAAAGTGAATCTAGCCATGCCATGGCCTCATGGATGCATGGAGTCCCAAGCATGGACCTTAGGGTCCTATATCAGATCCTGGACCAGAAAAACCAGAGCAAATGACAAACCTCTCCAGGAAAATGGGTGTTTGCAGCCACAGTCCGCAAGTGGGCAACTCTCGGGCCTGCAGAAAGGCCCTTCGCATGCCCCACTCCCCCACCCAAGCGTTCTGCTCTCTCCTGCTTTCTTGCTGGCCCTTAACCCACGTCCTCACATCCTAGGGGCTCAGTCCCCCGCTGAAGTACAGCTCCCTACCTGAGGGTGGCGCTCTCCCCCTGCCGGACCGTCACGTTGTCCATAGCTTTGGGGAAGGTGGCATCTCCGCTGCGCACGGGCACTCCTGTGGGTACAAGGAACAGCAGCCTGAGAGACACGACCACGAGGCACTTCCAGGGCAGGAACAGGTACCCACAGACCCCCATCCTCGACAGCCACAACTTCCCAGAACTCCGGTAGCGGCGCGGTCCTCGTCCCCCGCCCCGCACACCAGCGGGTCTCGTATTGTGGTGTGGGGAGACGGGAAAGGGATGGAGCAAGCCAGAAGCAGAGAGGGAGAAGGAGGAGAAAAGAGTCCAGGCTCTCCGGAGTCTAATGATTCTTCCTCAAATCCTGCCTCAGCTTTCCAGCCTAGCAGAACCAGATGCCCCCTCCTGCATCCAAAAAGAGCTTTCTTGACGCTCCCCTGGGGAGGGGGGAAGCAGCCGGGAAGGGAGAGGAAGAAGGAAGGTGCAGGGATGAAGGTCACAGATTGCTCTTTCTCTGCCTCTCTCTTCAAGATGCTACTTTAAGATTCAGTTGGGCACGTTCTGCAGAGTCTGGCATCAAAAGTTTATAACCCAAAGAAGCAAGGCAAGTGTCTCTGACATAAAGGAGATGTCCTAAAAGGCTGCTGCTTCAAGGAGAGGAGAAAAATGTTTTATTAGCTCACACACATGTACAGATGTATTTATAGACCAGCCCGAGTCTCGAATCTGGAACCCAAAGGCTGCCAAAAGTTCCAGCGCGGGGACGTGGCCGTCGCAGCCCGAAGATCCGTTGGTGCCGTGGGCGTCCTCCACCGCAGCCCGGGCGGCGACTGGTGGCCAGCCTGGCCCGCGTCGCCAGCCCGCGGAACGCCGCCCGGCGCAGGATGCGGGCACACGGGGAGCTGGCGGACCGCGCCCCCGCCTCCTCCGGGGACGCGGCACGGGACGCGGGGACGCGCGGACGCCACGCTCAGCGGCCGCCCCCGGCCTCCGCACCGCCTTCCTCCCGGGAGCGGCCCCGACGCGCGCGGGCCCCGACCGCCGGGGTTGTCATGGCAGCAGCTCCATCACTGACCGCCACTTTCTCCCGGGCTGGCTGCGAGAGAGCGGGCGGACTGCGCGCTCATCCCGGCGGGCGGGCGCGGGGAGCGGGCGCCCACCTTAACCCCTGCCTCTCCGCGCCGCGCCTACACGGGCTGTGCCGCTGCGCCGGGGTGAGGCGGGCGCCGCAGCTGGCTCCACTCTCCCCCAGACATCCGAGCCAGGCGAGAGGATTCCGCGCCCCTCCCGGTCGCTCCCCCTGCAAGAGGCGGGTGGAGGAGGGAGGAGAGTGAGGAAGAGGGAGCTCGGGATGGGGTGGGGGGTGAGCAGCAAATGGAAAAGTGACACTAGCACCTTTCCTCCCCTTGCCCAAACAGAAGTTGCCAGACCCTGAACATCATTTCCCCGGGGGTAGCTAAACCGGTGTGTGTAGGGTCACCACTCTGCCGCCCTTTGCCACCCGGCCAAGCTACAGTCTTAGGGCACGGTTCCCTGGAGCTTTTGTAAAAAGATGAAGTATGCTTTCTGCTCAGATGACCTACCTCGGAGCTACTCATGGCTCTAGACCTGCTCGCTCTCTCTCTCCCAAACTGGCAAATCTGAATTTCTTCTTACTGCACAACATACAGAATAGTCCCCAAGCTACTCCATGCTCCAGTATCTTACTGTAAAAAAGCAAGAGATGGGAAAACACACGGAGAGCCTAAAGAGTGTTGGCGTTGATTTTCATAAACTCCATCTATAGCTTTATGATCACACGAATTGGCCCCACAATGGTATTGGGAGGATAGGGCATTGGGGAATAGGGTATCCTTAAAAGCCAGCCTATCAGTTTCTTTGAGGGCTTAGATTAATTTCTTTCAGTTCTTAACCAGAGAGCTCAGGATTTCCTTGGGCCTGTCCTATGGCTTTTCTCCTGTTCCTTCTAGCAGAAGCCATCTCATATCTTCTAAGAAGCGTAGCTTATCCCCTATATCATAATTTAATGGTTGCTATGTACATTTTCTTTTCTGTATTCTTTCTCAGATCCTTTTGTTAAATTAGGCAGGGCTCTGAACAATGGAATTTAATTCAAAATAAGCTTGAAATTCTTATTCATTACTTTAGCTGTTTAAGGATACAAAGGCATCCTACCTGCTCTCCATTATGGGCGACTGAGCACTATGTATACTGCCCCATCTTCCCTTGTAAAATGGGAGCCCACATACATTTTTAGGTCTAAAATTTTTAATGAGAGCATCACACCTCAGGAAGAAAGAATACTGGTCACTAGTCATGCTATGTATGCTTTATCTCTTTTAACATAGTGAAAAACACATATCGGCTCCTTTCCAGAAAAGAGATACTAATAAAGACAGGCATTGGGCAGAACATTCATCCTAAGCTCTTGGGCTACAAGGGTGGAAGGAGAAAAGATGCCTGCAAGAGAGACTCAGCCCTCAGAGAGCAGCCAAACCACTTTTTTGGAACCACCTGCCAGTTTTAATGACACACATCTTTCCTTAAGATTTGAGTGTACCTGGGTTTTTTGTATACACATTGTACCTAATCCTCTAAACTCTGAGATGCTCTTATCCATTATCACCAGACTGGAAATGCTTTTTTTAGTGCTTTAGCCTGACTGAAGCTGAGAATGTGAGGCTGTGCTTATGATTTTCTTCAGCTTCAGAGTTTGTTTCTTGAACATTGGGGGATGGTGGCATGGGGTTGGGTCAGTCTGCCATAGGAGTGACACAGCTCTTGCCACTTGGTTGTAGTGGGCTCAGGTGACATTCTCTCCTCATATATCTGTTGGTTTGGTCCTAGTGCTCCTCAGGAGATGCAAATGGAGCACTCGCTAAATGCTAACTCAGTCTGTGAAGGATTTCTTGAAATGGGACAAATTACTGGGGAAGAAGTCCAGTTGGGGAAAGAACAGAAGGGATGAGAAAAGAAGAGAAGCAGAGGTAGGTTGAATATTATGTATGAAAATCTTTCTTTTGTAGAAGGGATAAGTATCCAATTTTTTTCTGGACTGGATCCCCCCAGCTACAGGTATCTGGAGTCCTAAAGCACAGGATCTAGTCCTCGTCCTAGTCCTAGAGAAGGTTCTTCCAGTAAGCTGGCTACCTAGTTCAATACTTGAGGGTAAATAAATGACTGAACTGAAGGGTTAGTGAATCAGAGAAATAACTGTAAAGGTCTAATCTTTATGCTAATCTTTACCAGTTTATAGTTTCATGGGGGAGATTCCATTCACGTGTAATTCATTCATTGCTAGGGACCAGTATTCCATTTATAGAATAGAAAGCCAAACCAATTTAGAATGGGAAAGAGAACAGGGGGTGAGGTTCACAATAAACAAGGACTAAAGTGGTTTATATTGGGGGTTTTCTAAGGAATGTTTGGTTGAGTACCATGATGGGGGGACTCCCAGTTAAACCCCTCTTGAGTGTATATCCACATATATGAAGACAAATATCTGAGGACAAAGTAAGAGTACTGACTGGGCATGTTGATTCTGAAGTTAGATGGTCTCTTTGGATACTGACTCTGAAACCCTTCAGCTATGTGAGTGGCACCTAACAATACCTATCTCATGGGGTTTGGGGAGGCACTTGAGATGTCCCCAAGATTTTGTTTTGAGGTCTGGTGTGTTTACAGTCACAGAGACAGCTTCCTTGAAAGAAAAGTTTATTACTTATCATTCCCAAGAGAAGAGGGCATGCCATGTCCTGCAGAGCCACATGAGGAAACACCCACCCGGTGGGGGAGGGGGGGGTTGGGGTGCGGTCAGTGTCAAGAAGCAGAGGAAGCCAGGAGAAACCAAAGGCCCAGGGCCTTGGTTGCAGCACCTACAAGAAGGAATGCGTGAAGCTGGGTAGGTAAGCTTGAGCAAGCTTAGGCTCAGATTATTCGAGTAATTGTGGCAGACCCTGGGCTACTGGTCTCTAGTGTTCCTGGGGTGAGTTAGGGCAGAGGAAATAGCTTGCTGTGTGGCAGTTGGATAAAGAAGGTGGTTGGGGATGTGGCCCCTTGCTTGTTTGGTTTACCTGCAAAAGGTACGCTGAAGACAAGGCGCTTGCTAGCTCCAGGAATTAGCTAACCCTGGGCGGGGCTGTCTCTCCAGAATTAGCAAGCCTCCCAGATGTCAAAGCATCATAAAATACAGAAATTTTTTAAAACATGATTAATACAGGATGCCAGTTAATGAGATGACGTGTTACACTCCACATTGGAAGTATTTCATAATCATAAATTATGATTATATAACATAACTCCCACTTTCCCATGATAACAACTTGTGACATGTGGAAAGACATGAGTGAGAGATTGTAAATGCCCCATATCCAAACTAGAGCTTTGATTCAGATCTACAGACATCTTGATATTCAGGATGATTTATAATAGAAAAGGCAGACATGGATCCAGTGCAGGGCAGTAACTTAGGAAAACTTAAAGCAGGGAGGGGATGTGAACTGACTGAGAGGTATGGATTGTGGTTGTCAGGTACAGAATGGTTTGCAAGGGGACAGAATGGAAGCAGGGAGATTTTCAAGAGTGGAACAGGAAAGAAATCATGGCAGTAGTAATGATGATGGAGAAAAATAGAAACGTAAGGTGTGTATCTTGGATGCACAGTTTAGGACTTTCTGAGAGTTTGGATGTTGAAATTGAGGAAGATCAAGGGACTGAGGATGACTCCTGAGTTCTGGCTGGTAACCAGGTGGTACAATTTCCTGGGACGGTGATGTCTCCAAAAGGAATAGATTTTGAGAGGCATAGTTTGAAAGAGTGAATAAAAAGCTCCATGAGACAGCCAGATGGAAATGTTAGGTTGGCAGTGGGAGAAAGGAGTCTGAAGCTTACCGTACAGGACTGAGGACAACACTAGCATCTTATCAAAAACCTGCTTCCAAGCTTACTGTTAAAGAAAAAAAAAAAAAAAAAGTGGTAAAATTCTTTCAGGGTGAGGAGCATGCTATTCCATGGAACTCTCAACCTGCATCTACCTCCTCCCCCCACTTTTGATCATACATTAGAAATAGTCCCCCTTATCTTAAGCTTCAGAACCTAAAGTGATTTCACTGATTTAATTTGTCTCTTAGTAGATTTCCTCTGCTTAGCCACATCTCAGCTTTTGAGAGTAGATTCTA